TGTGGAGTTTAATTCAAAATTGTCCAATATTATCGGCACCTTTGCACCTGAAAAAGTCAAGACAATGTCTGGTAAGAGGAAAGCCCCGTGGAGAGACTCTCCTTTAGTAAAGCTTCATAAAACAGAATGCCGGAAAGCTTAAAGCAGGTGAAGGAAAATAAAACTCATGGTCCATCTTGACACTTACAAGGGGAAACTATCCACTTACAGGCTGGCACTGAAAAAAGCCAGAGTAATTTTTTTCTGAACTTATCAACAAAATATTAATAATGCACATGTCTTATTTTCCACTGTTGATAAACTAACTAACCCCAAAGTGAGTATAGCCGCTGAATTGTTCTCCACTCAGTCATGCAATAACTTTGCCTGCTTTTTCTCAGAAAAGATAATGAAGATCAGCTCCTCCACTCCAAGTCTAGTCTCAGTGACACTGGTACATTTACACAAAACAAACCTATCAATCATGTCAAAGTTTAATCCAGTCAACCACAAAACACTAGAAGAAGTGGTGGTCCATCTAAAACCCACTACATGTTGCTTTGGTAGTCTTCCAACAAACCTTTTCTGAAGTGTCCTTGTATTGCCCCAGATTTACTGCAAATTGTTAACATGTCCCTCCTTTTGGGTGACTTCCCTAAGAGCATGAAAACTGCAGTTATTAAGCCTCTGCTAAAAAATAACAATCTTGACCCTTCAGTAATCAGTAATTATAGGCCCATTTTAAATCTACCATTTATATCCAAAATAATTGAAAAGGTTGTTTTCCTACAACTAAATAGTTTTTTAACCTGTATTAATATTTTAAATATCTTCCAATCTGGATTTTGTTCCCATCAGAGTACAGAGACTGTTTTAATCAAGCTTTTAAATGATATTTGTTTTAACCATGACTGTGGAAAAACAACAATTCTTGTTCTACTAGATCTGCGTTCGATACCGTAGATCATGACATTCTTGTGGATAGACTGGAAAAATATATAGGCCTGTCTGGCACAGTTTTAAAGTGGTAAAAGACAGAGACTACTTTGTATTCTTTGGAAATTGTACATCTAAGAGAATAAAAATGATATGCGGAGTTCCCTGGGGGTCGATCCTTGGGCCTCTCCTGTTTAATTTGTACATGTTGCTAATTGTTCAAATTTTCCAAAAGAACAACATCTCCTACGATAATTATGCAGATGACACTCAGATGTACATAGCATCATCAGCTGATTAACATGGTCCAGTTCATTCACCAACAAAATGCATTGAAGAAATTAACAACTGGATGCACTGTAATTTCCTGCAACTCAGTACCAATAAAACAGAACTTATTGTCTTCGGTGCCAGAGAGGAGAGACTTAAAGTTATTGCTCACCTCAAATCATTTTCATTAACGACCACAACTCAAGTCAAAAATCTTGGTATGGTTATTGATTCAGAACAGCCACAAAACATTACAAAATCAGCTGACTATCACCTAAAGTATCTCACAAATCAAGAATCTCATGTCAAAGGAGGACCTTGAGAAAATCATACAAGCATTCATTTTTAGTAGACTTTTAGACTAGAGTTTTAACCAGGACTAGAAAATTTGATCACATCACTCCAGTTCTGAGATCACTCCACTGGCTTCCAGTGAATGAAAGAATCAAGTTTACACTTTTGTTGCTCATTTATAAGGCACTCAATGGGCTAGGACCAATTTTTATCAATGACCTTCTTCACAGATATGAACCTGCTAGACCCCTCAGGTCTTCAAATACTGGGCTGCTTGCAGTTCCTTTCTACTCCTCATACCTGGAATAAACTCCCAAAACACCTGAGATTGGCTCCCACCTTACAGTCCTTTAATCAGTGCTGGGCAAGCTACTTGGAAAATGTAGTGAGCTAAGCTACTAGTTCCTCTACATTAAATGAAGCTTCACTTCACAGAAGCTACCCCCATTGAAATGTAGCAAGCTAAGCTACAGCAACATGGCAAAATTAGTTTACGATAGTTAGATAGATAGTTAGATAGATAGATAGATAGATAGAGCATAGGCCTAGCTTATTTTGAACCAACAGTCCACAGTAGCAAAAGAAGAAATACTAAAAACCTGCTTTAAACAGAGTGTGTGTGTGCGAGAGAGAGTTAAATCAGACACACAGAAACTCTCCTACTTACTGCCATATCATTGCAGCAAAATGTATTTGCGCATGCAACAAACTGAGAATCATTGTTGTCAAATTTACTGCAAAATAATGAAAATATCATCATTAATATTGTTTGTTATTTTAATAACTGTTCCTTTGAAATATTCTACTGCTTGTCAAAAAGCAAAAATGGGTGTGTGTGGAAGCTACCGCGCTATTAGGTCAATAAAAGAGTTTCGCTACTGAAAAGCTATTTGATTCAGAATACAGCAACGCTACCACAAAGCTACTGAGAAATGTAGTTAAACTAGTAATGCCGCTACTTGTAGCTACTGCCCAACACTGTCTTTAAGTCAGGTCTTAAAATATTCCTGTTCTCTGAGGCCTTTTAAACCTTTACAATCGTATTTATCGCTCTTATTGTCACTATTTTATTTTATTTTGATCTCATTGTTTTAATTGTGTTTTAATATCAATTTTTATTTCTTTTATTTCTTTTTATAGTATTTTAATGTATCTCTTTTTCATTGTTACTTTTGTATTCGCTTTCTTTCTCCTATATGTAATGCACACAGATAGATGTTTATTGTTTTAATCTTGATTTTATTATTTATTGCTCATTAATTAATCTAGCTTTATATTATAAAGTAGGCCTACCTTAGTATCTGTTTTTGTATCTTTGTCTCTGTAAAGCACTTTGAATGACTGTAGGGTTGGGAAGGTGCTATATATATATAAATTTGCCTTCCCTTGCCTCTGGAGCTGTGGGGTCTGTATCTGTGTTTGGGGGCCACCCGCTGCCATGTTTCTACTCCACACCCGGTGCTACAATTATTATTATTAGGCCTATTATAATTAATAGTGTTACTATTATTAATTTGTTGATATTTGTATTATTACCACTAACGTTTCAATTATTTTTCATCTCTATGTGGAACTTGCACTGGGCTACTGTGTGTTCTCTTTCCTCCTTATTTTCAATGTGGGTATATTCATAAGGGGTATATAAAACTTTCCTTTACGTTTTATGTAATCCTTATTGAATGTAATACATGCAATATTCAATTCTGTTTATCTTAGTTAAACAGAATAAATACAAAATAAATCATATAAATAATGTCTTAATTATAAGGACAAAAAAACAGTGTGAAGTGTGAAGGCACTGCAGAGCCACACCACTGCACTTTACAGACTTTCATTCACAGTGTCCATGGCAACAAGAGCCTTAGAGACTTGCGCCAGGGTAGAGGAGGGTCAGGCGTTGCAGAGTTTCTCCATCACGTCCTCGCTGACGCTGCTGATTCTCCATTCTCTGTGTTATCCAGTTGACTGACGGTCTTGATGAGAAGGGAGAGAGAGTCATAGTAAAGTGCGGCGCCATGTCTCAGCGTGTCCACCCAACCCACCCCACCACCAACACCACCCCAAGTTGTTCCTCTCATTCTTCACACAGATTCATGTTTGAAATGATGACCTCTCTCCGGAGATATTTCGTATTGAAGTTTGCTTGCTGCGTCGCTGGATTGGTTGCAATTTCCTCACAGGGCTTTTCAGACATCCCAGGGCAAAGTGTTCAAACAAACAAAGAATAGCATATCATACATATTTGTGTCTAGATGCATATAAACACCCCTGCATCTGTGTGTGAATGATATCTTGGTAGCTCAGAGATTCTAAGGAGCCCTGATGTGTCCCAACAAAATTAATAATAGCTTAATTCTACTGTTGTAAAGTTACCCTTATATTAGGGTTTACCCTCATTATTATTATTAATCAAAATGTGTCCCATTTGAGGATAGAATCTGATTAGCTGGAGGTCTAAATGGTTTAATGTGTCTATTTGGAGGTCAGAAACATCAGAGTATTATCTATTCTGCTGCATTACATCTGGTCTTCACTCAGGATGGCAAGTCACAGTGCGAGACAGAACATCTGGTCTGACAAGGCATTGACACAGGGGGATCAAGGTGTGAGCGTATTCATGGGTCTGCGGGAGTGGCCCAAAGATTAAAAAAAAACAACAAAAAAAAACAGCGCTGTCCTCACCTGTCATGTAGCTGTAAAGCACCAGGTCTCACCACTGACAAAACATCTTTAGAAGATACACACACCAACATGGAGAGCCATTATTTCCACTGAACCATGCTAGTCTTCATTCCATTTTATGGGCCGTAAAGGATTTGAAGAGATGTCATAATACGGTAATACCAGAATATTCCCTTCTGCTCCTGTGGCAGGACTGACATTGTTCTGGCCATTGCTGTGAGTATCAAGGGATTTGGATTTGGTTCGTCCACACTTAAGGCAAAAAGGAAATGTCTTGAAACCTACTCGGTGGATTACTGTTGAAGTTCATACAGAGGATGAATCGTTATGACTCTGGTGGTCCCATGGAGCTTATGTGAAATGATTGAAGGCCCCTGAACATCTACTTAATGGACCTTGCAGTTGGATTGTCTTCTGAAAAATGTTGTGATCATGTCAAATCGAAATAGACTATGATGCTACGAAGCTCAAAATTACAAAATCATAGTCAAGTTAAGTCATACATAAGAAAATAACATCAGAACGGTCCTTGTGATCCCAGAATAATAATTAGTTATTTTGAGGTCACAACAAGAAAACAACACAAGGGAGATAATTACACACATGTCCTCCGTCCATGTCTTCAATGTCTGACTACAAATACTACAAAGACAATGAAAGGAAGTGAGCCCACAAAGTGCATGAAAATGACAGTTAACAAATGTAAATTACACCAAGACAATCTACTTTACTTGTAAAAGGTAAACAGTTTCATCTCAAGGTTCAACTGACTGATTATGAAAGTTTTTTTGTGGGATCATATTATTTTACACTGTGCTAAGAATAAGGACATAAACAAGTCAGGAGTGTTACATTTTATTTGGTCTTCTTTTTGAGCTTTTCCTTCCTTTTTTTTTCCACAGGTTAAAACCCATTATAATAGTCAAGAGAAATAAAAACATTTTCACATACTGTATACAGAAATAGTCCTCTTGACACACAACAATAAAAACAGCTGATTAGGCCCAGCCCAGTGCGAGATTTCACAAAAATGCAACAATAACGAATTTTCAAAGCCCCGACGACCGCAATACCTCTGACTCACAGGAGCAGAGACAGTTCTGAGAGAGATGTAAAAATGGCTGCCAGGGCAATGCAACAATTACGTTATGACACCGCCTAGGTTGTAATAAAACACAAAATAGACATGGAAATGAATCTGGAACAATTACAATAAAAGCAAATAGATTAAAAAAGACAGAGAGGAGGTCAACCTTGTCTACTCCTTTAGGGTAGTGACAAAATCCTCATTTCCTAGCAGTTTTATGCACATAAACAAACTCAGTATGGGTGCCCCAAGGGGACATTAGACTGTGATTTAGGTTTGGGATTTTGCTGGTATGTACACAAAAGAACCGGATTTCAAGCGCTACCAGGCAATTCTGTTGACTTCTCTGCTACTCACAGTTACTGGGGCTTGTAGAGAAATCATTTTCATATGGATTTGGTCGAATTGAAGAACTGGAATGTAAAGTTAATTTGCCTCATGTGAAGCACCCATACCTATATCTTCAAATACTCCAGTGAAAACCTAGAAAATATTTTGTTCATTTGAAGCAATCAATCCACCATCCTAATGTAGACTGCGTCCATGGCCATCTAGAAAGAGAAATTGTTTTGATCCAGTGTGTAAAAAGATGGCCATTTATAAATATCCACTTTTCCACCCCGCTGTATAGAAATGTTGTCAATGTCCTTGTCTTTGTCAGAAGGAAAAGCTTTTTACAGTACAGTGATGCTGTGAGTGGAAGAAATTTGACCAGTGAGTCATGGGGATTTGTACCATCTAAACCGTTTCAAATTGCCTCTGTGGATCATTTAGAGTTGAGTTATTTAAGCCCCAGCATGAGCACCTGAAAGAGACCACCTAAGTTAAATACCCTCAAGCCTTGGTTAAATCTTTAGGCTCAGCTGACCTTTGAGAGAGCAAAGATCTGGAGAATCCAAAAAAGCTAGCTTATACCTAACAGGGCAATGGCTTATTTTAACCAAATCAAAATTGAATGGTAGGCAATTTTATTTGAATTTTTAAGCTGGTAAGAATTGTGTGAGGTGGGTGAAAAATACCAAAACACTGCCACTTGTTTAGCTAATGATACTTTTAGCGTAACTACATTAGCAAGCTTAAAAGAGGCAAAATAAGATGTACTCGCTGGTCTGACCTGGGCTCTATAGGTGGTCTTTATAGCTTATGCACCCTGGCATATAGTTTGACATAAAGCAAAATGCCAAAAATATCATCATTTTCATTCCTTTTATGTGCAAACAATGTGCTAAATCATTTTGCTGTCTATATTTGATACACAAGGGCTGTTTACTCAACCAATTGGTTTGCAGTGCACTCATTCAGCCCTCCAGAAACAGAAATGTACTGATTGAATAGCTTCTATTCCAGGAAGATCACAAGGTAATTGTGTGTCAATAGCTAGGCGGAAAAAAATAATCATGGGGCTGTTGAGGGAAGGGGGGCGAGTTTGTGGGCCTTGGACTTAATGACCTCATAGACAAACTCCATGTTTATTTTCAATACAGAGCGCCAGCCATCTCTAAGAGCCGTCACTGTGGTCTTGGAAACTAATTGGTCCTTCTTTCATGGCTCCCATTCATTCAGTTTTCGTTGTTGCAGAAAAAGAGGACAACAGATGGTGACCTTGGACGCACAGACTGAAAAGAATTAGGAAGAATACTCACACTTTGGGAGACTGAGCATTAGCTTACGCACCTGGCGGCGCTTCTCGCAAACATGGCTTTTGTCCACATCCCTATAGAGATGTGCAATTCCTGTACAATCAATGAAAGGTCATATTTGATCATTTGGTCTCAGCCTGTTAATTCCAAACAAAGGCCTGAGCAGGTGTTTCAGTTTAATATGAGCCAGAAAGTGCAATAATGTGTCTCGGGCGCTGGCAGCTGGCTGTGAGACAGCCGAAACGAGGCTGATAACCAGGTATATTTGTAACCTCCACTTAACTGAACACAAGCAAGCGAAGACAGCAGCTGTAAATGGGGTGAACGCCACTGAAATAGCAGGCCATCTATTTGGCTGTTTCAGAATTTACTCTTCGCTAAGCCGCCAAGGTAAGTTTGATCAATAAAATAAATGCGGCACGTGTTCAGGTTTTCCCTCCATCCTTGACGAATTCTTCTCAAATGTTTTCAGTGAACATGAAGGAGAGAAAACATTATTTAACTGCAGCAGAAAAAATGTAATGAAATACAGTCCCCTCCTGACCTGCTGACTTGAGACACCAAACACTTTAAATGAGTATGTTTACAACCAACATGCACACTGTGCTCGGTTACTTAGTAATCAGTATACAATAGTTCAATTAAAGTGTTTGGACTATTTCAAAATTGAAAAATACTAGCCTATACTTTTATACATTTTACTTATGTCTTGATTTTGAAAAGGAAGGATAATCTTCAATATGGAGCACCAACACTAACAAAATATAGTAAAATGTTAAGAGACATGTCATATAAAACTAAATATAATTTGTAGTAATTATCAGGGGATGTCCACCTTCAACGATATTGGAGGCAGGCGTGGCAGGTTTACAAGGGGCAGCCGCTTTATTATTTCCATTGTTTTCTGTATTACAGAATGTCCCTAATTAGTATTTGTTCCCTGCAAATACATACAGCATTTACATGACTACTGCTACAGTTGAATCAATGGCTTAATCAGTGTAAACCAGATAATTAGAATGCATGGAAACATAACAAATTAAGCTTTAAGAGTGAGTGGAACCCCGATGGATGGTTGCGTTAGGCAACACCTTTCCACTGTTATCCCTTCACAAAGCCAGCAAATAACTAGCTTGCTTTATTCTTCTAGATAATGGCTCTGATTTTTCACCTCGGAATTTTTTACAACACAACCACCGCTCACAAGTAGCCTCTTTGCGTGATTAGGGTCGGGGCCTTGGGTTCCTCCACTGTGCAGTCTCATTAGCTTTTATTCATATATCGTATTGACTATTTCTCATTCACTGATTAGAGGCAATGGTCGGCGCTTGAACCTTGTCTGCTCCCTGCCACTGTGGGGCTGAAAGTTGCTCAGCGGTGGCCAGATATCGGTCTCTCCTGCAGGTAGTTCACTTCCGTTCTCCCTTTCAGTTTGTACGCCGGACACTGATTTGCAATGACGGATGGGGCTGATGCCTGGAAGAGCAGAGAGCCACAAACGACTCATCAGGACTTTCTTATTGGCACACAAGCTGTCAGCTGCAGCAGATAAGTGGCAGCTATGGTTCTTAAATATGACAGCCAAAACCACAAATCGGACATCCCTGTCCACAAAAGATTTCCTAAAATGTGTCCCGTTTACTCCCTCAGCTACCAAACTGGAGTTCTGTCAGATTCAGATTATGCCTTAAGATTTGAAGTAGGAGTGTATTGTTTGCGTAAAAAATACTTTTAAGTATTTCTATGCACAGGTCATTTTGGGGCAGGAAGGTTTCTCACCAAATCAAATGAAAAATCTTCAGGAGAATTCCCATTCCAACTACAGGCAAAAACTTAAATCATACGTGGAAATCAGTGACTTCTGTTATCACTCACACAATCTCTCAGTGTGCACAAGCTTGATCGAGAACGGCAGGTAACACTTTTGAAACATCAAGAGTGAGGGAAAATTTAAGTCTAGCACCGAGTGAACAAACAGACAAGGCATGAGTGGCAGGTTAAAGTGGATACTTGACACACACACGGAATTTGTGACAGAAATAATCTGCCAGACGTTTCAATCATCTCAATTTCCTTCATGTATCTTTTTCTCCTCACAGAGCGCCGTCGACAATAACAGCTATCCACGCCTAATGACTATCAGAGGACAGCTCTTGTGGCTTTGTGTGTTGACACAAAGAGACGAGGCAATAACTCATCACTTGTCACATCTGGAAAATGTAAGTGATGAGGACAAGAGAGCGAAGGAAGGTAAGGAATACTGCTGAGAGAGACTAATTCTATATTAAACCTGCAACTTTTGCACAAGGTGAAGGAAGATCCACGGTGCTCATGTCCAAGTGATGGCACGTGAGTTGTTCGACTGGACCCGAGGTCAACATAAAACAACTGTTTGGGGGATCCTGTCAGATTCTGAATGGTCGCTAATATACTTCGGATCTTTGTATGTCAAATAGAGGGTTTTGTTTACATTTTAGATTCTGTTCAAACTTTATGTGTATGCTATGTGTATGGAAGCCCATATCCGGCAATGTGATGAAAAAAAAAAAAGATCCTATAAGTCATTATTTTGAGAAACTCTCTCAAAATAAAGAGTTAGTAAATCAAAATAATGAGAAACGTTCTAACTACAGGGTTGTTCATACCGAGCAGCAAAGCATTTATTCGTGTTTTATTTGTTTTAACGTCAAGGCAATATTTTGGGTTTAGGCCTAGCCAGTTAACTATTAGTACAGTTTGAATTAATGAAATTGCTGTTTACTGTTCAAATCATAGTAACAACGGTTAGAAAATCATATAGCTACATGATTTCCAGCAACATCCACCACTATTTTTTCACTTCACTATTCTCATCTGATTGGACAATACGGAAAAAAATGGCAATGATGTCAGACGCTTCTCTGCTCTGAGTTTAAGTTTTTTCAACTCGAGGTGTTCAGAGTGGTCTGGCAAAAACGTGGGGCACTTAGAGTGTTTAACGCATCAGCAGTGCACAAAACGCTTACATAAAACAACTGGAAAAAGACGCCTCTCCCTGCAAAAGCTGCACTCTGTCAGATCTCTTCTTTACAGGGTGTTTTTTTCTCTTCATCACATTAGATGGAAATGTGCTTCCATATATTTGCGACCACAAAATAAGTTCTCTGAAATGAACTTAATGTTGAGAATTTCATAGTTATTTTGCATTTAGAATATTTATTTAGTTATTTCCGCCCCCTAAAAAACATCTTAGAAGCTATTTTTAGGGTTCATTATCTCCAGACAGATAACTCCTAGAGGCATGAAGACGGATCCAAATGACTGAAAGAGGAGGTCGTATTTTTCATTAGTGGCCCTAAGGGGCCCCAGGCAGTCCCCAAAGGATATAAATATGGACATTTCCATACTTTTGTATGTATGATGTATGGCAAGCATGACAATTTGTTGCGTTTTTGCATGCAGCCATGAGTGTGCATGCAAAAGTAGGCAGGTTCTGAACTCTCTCAAGCTCTCTCTTTTTTTTTTTTACAACCAAGTGCAACACCACAAGTGCTTTCAAGAAGAGATGAAAATGTGTGCCATGACACCCAGTTATACAATTCATCACGTCTCGCCTCGCCTCTCTGGCTTTTCACCATCATCTTCAACTGCGGCCATTCGAAAAAGCTATATACACGTTTGCCTTTAGTTGTAGTTGGACACACTGTACAACCAAGTTTGTTCAAAGCATACTGAATCCTTTACAAGCACCGTGTCTCTTTGTTGTCCTGTAGACCATGAACAGACATATTGTGTGTGCAATAGAAACATACAATAATGCTCCTGTTTCAATTACAAAGAAAATCAGTTGCCTCAATTAAATGTAATGGACTGTCCTAGAACATTTGCCAGTTAGGAAGAAGGGAGCAAAGTAGTAGGAGTAAGGAGAAAAAGAAAGAATGGAAATCTCCCACATCACGTGAGGAGTAAGAGGGTAGAAAAAGATAAACCTCATCTGGTCAGCAGCTGAACAGGCAGTGGCAACAGAGAAAACAGGAAGACTGCTCAACCTGCCTTTGAAACTTAATGCATTAAAAAAAGGGGCATGGCTTAAATCGAGACGAGCTGACGCAGGAAATGACTCAATATACCTTGCGAGGAAGACGCAGGGCATTTTTGTAACATCGAGGCAAATTAATTAACCAGATATGTGAATGCTTTGTTAATGCTCCCTGCTCTTATCAAGAGGCTAATTATCACTATCAGCCTCCTCTGTTCGTCAGTAGGATTATTAGGCTAATCACAAGGCTTTCCCCTTTGGAGACAGGGTTTTCACTCTTCATCTGAACAAAGCCGTTATTGTCCTCCAATGATACAATGTCAGTGATGAACCCGATCAGTATTTGTACCTCGTAACGCTCCAGCAAAGGCTTGGTAACAGGACGAGTTTGTGCTATGAGCAAGTGGGTCTCTTTCAGTTGCTAACATGCTTGACCTGCACCAATTATGTTAATAGACTATATGCCAGTTGAACTAGTTGACTGCCGTTTAAAAAAACAAAAACAAAAAAAAACCCACCCTGGATACTGCGCATCATCAGTCTGTGATGTCCAACCCATTCCAGGAGTTGCTGCAGCCCCTTTCCTTTTTTTGAAAAAAACCTGAGAAAGTGCTTGAACATACATTTAGTATGTAGAATGATCAGTGATGATATTGACTGTGAACCGAGAGTGAAAGGGCAAGTTTTTCAGTTGCTCAAGAGCATTCTGGTCTGCTGAGACTGCTTTTGGTTTAAAATTTTTAGCGTCTCCACAAAGAATTTCTCCCTGTATTATCGTTGAATGTTTCTGCTTCGTCTGCTCTGGAAGTATCTCAACGTCACATCACAGTTATCCACAGGATCCTATCAGATCTTTTTTCTTTTTAGCAGTGCTTAAATGGTTCAGGATGGATTTTTGACACAAGGATGTTTTGGAGCCCTGCTACTCTAGTCTTGCAAAGCCAGCCTCACAAGCTCAAGTCTGAAAGATATTTATGCTAAGATTTGTGAGTGATCAGTAGATGTTTTGATGCATGTTACCCATTCTCAACTGTTAGACAGTTAGCTTAGCATAAAGACTGGAAACAACTACCCAGGCTGTGTCCTAATATAACAAAATCTATCTACCAGCCCCTCTAACGCTCACTAATTACGACGTTATATCTTGTTTGTTTAATCCATACAAAAAAACAAAATTTACACACAACAATGTTTTGGTCTTCCAGGGGTTATTCCCCCGGCTACTTCCACTGGTTGCCTGGGAAGGCAAGGAAACTTAAGAGGTGCTGGAAGGCAGATATTTCTACCTCCATCTTTATGCTAATCTAAGCCAACCAGACTGATTTAAGAATGGTATCAATCATCTCACTCTCTACAAGAAAGCAAATAAGTGTATTGGCCAACATGTCAAACCTTTTTTCCCCTTTACATTTAGGTGTGTACAGGGGTAAAATGTAACATGAGTTTTAACTTTCACAACCTGTTTCTGGCTCACATGCCTTCAGAAGCTAAATCTGGTGGCTCTTCTCAAGAGAAATTTGACATTAAGCATCAACGGTTTTCCTAATTCAAGAAGAAGGAACTAATGACAGCTGACTGGCACGTTCGTCCAATCAGGTCAAAGGGAGAAGTGTTAATCATGTGGTCCAAGACACTGCAAAACTGTGGGCTGGCTTTGCAAGGCTACTACTACTCTGGTGGATTGTACAAATAAAGTATTTATTGAAGCTTCAATGTACTGTAGTATATCCAAATATTTTTTGAGGGGTGGTGATGAGACAGCCTGGATGATATTTAAAAAGTTAACCAAAGAAAAGTATATTTAAGTTATATTTAAATACCACTTGTGGTTATCTCTACTTCCTCTGTGTTGTCCAGAGTGGCAAACCCCATATCTTTGGCATATACGCAGAGGGCTCCCCTCTGTTTCTTGTGCTGTGTCGCCTGCCAGAGGAATGAATGTGTCACATCCTGGCATTTCCTGGGGAATGTGACCGGAATGTTATCTGCTTCCAAGTGGAACGCCTGTGTCATGGTTTTGTCTTGGATTTCATGAGCGGCCTGGAATATCCACTCTGAGTGCTTTCTCCCATAATGCAACAGGCAGACACTGTTTAAAAAAAACAAAACAGTAAGCTTTCCTTGAACAATAACTCTAGACATGCACACACACACGCACTCACACGCAGACGACAGAAATGCTAAGCTGATTTTCAAATTGAAGCCAAATTCATAGTATCTTCCCTACGCACCAGATTACCCATTCAAGGAACCTTGAAAAGATATATATTAAAAACACTTCACGAAATAAGGCACTCCAATTTACAATTGTCCCGAATGCTTTCAGTCTGCAGAGAGGTAGAGGCAGATGAAGCTGTGCAAGTCGCCTTATCCACCTCTGCATTGTCACAAAGCTTCAAAGGTAGGGTGGAGATGAAAGCAGGTGATATGAGCTGTCTGATAGAATCTGAAGATGGAACAAGTGATCTGTGTTCTGCTCCTTCAAAGTGATAGAGAGGGAGAATGAAATGGACACCAGCCACTGGTTCAAAGGCAGCTATCCCACAATCCAATGGATCACCTTTCACAGGGTTTCTGGTTTCCAAGAGCAGCAGGCTGGCATATATGTAGGACCTGCAAAGATTAAGGATCCCATCGGTGTAACCTCCCTAGGTGGGTTGAGTGTGCTTTTTTTAAAGGATTCCAAATCGTCGTTAAGATGTAGGACACGGTAGTGGAAAGGGTCCTAGACGGTGTTCCTGTAAAAAACACAGCCTTGCCATGGGTTTAGAACCTATCATCTCTAAGTTGCGTTGGGGACTTGAAGGGCTTGAGCCCCAGTGTCCTGCGGGGGTGAGCTCTCTCTTTGGTGCCATCCAAGGGCTTGCTGCAGGCCGCCCAGCCCAAGTCGATGAGGGGCGAGTCGGCCGGGTTGAGAGGCGGTATGCGGAACGAGGGCAGCGTGGGCGAGCCGTTAGTGGAGCACGGGGCAGAACGTGAGGTGGGGAAGGGAGCCAAGAAGGGGTCGAAGGGTGAGGCCGTGTCAGAGCCACTCGAGGGGTCAGCCTTGAGGGCGAATGGGTCGCAGTCAGGCGAGGGGAAGATGTCACAGTTGAAAGGGTTGGTAGGGGAAGGCTGGTAGCCCAGAAGGTTGCTGTCTGAGCGGTTTGGGCTGCGGCCACTACCGGAGTTCCCACCGCCGGCTGAGATGAAGCTCCAGGGGTCGATGCGGGGCCGGATGGGAGACGGACGGGGCCGGGGGATGACACTGACCTCCAGGCGGCGGGTTTTGGGGCTCCAGAGGGCAGGGTTGGGGTGGAGAGAGCAGGGCACTGAAGGCTTGTCATCAGAGTCCTGTGTGTCTTGGCATAAGGGAAGGTCCAAAACTGGAAAGAAAAGAAAGAAAAAACATTAAAGGGGCACTCCAGTCATTTAGCATTACTCTTCCATAAGGCTGAGGGACTTGTGAGAGACGTCCTTCAAATAGAATGGGAAAAAAAAATCAAAGCAGCTGAGGCTGAGATATCCTGACTGTCAGTCACTAGGATGAGTCAAGCTTTAAAAATGCTGTGTCCTACATTTTCCATAATGCAACTCAATAGAATTTTTCAAACCGTCCCGTCCCTGTATGATATCACTATGACATAATCAGGGTTATTTTATTATGTTGGATTCTTCTGACAGTAAGAGTAATTACTCAACACTGTCGACACATGCCTATAATTACAAAAATAATAATAATAGTAATAAAGGGATTACATTTATGTAGCGCTTTATCTTAGATACTCAAAGTACTTTAGAGTGAAGAGGGGAAACTCATCTCAACCACCACTAGATTGTAGCACCCACCTGGGTGATGCATGGCAGCCACCAGCTTGAGGTGTAGAGGGGGGGAAACATAGAGCCAGTTACACTAGGGGGAGATTAGATGGCCAGATGGAGAAAGCCAGGTTGGGTACTAGCCAAGCCCCGACCTGCTTAGCTTCAGTGATTCAGCAGAAACAGGGTACATATTGGTACGGCTGCCGGCTATGACTTATTGGCTCTGCCATACTGAGATGCCACTGTCGCTACGGGTTGCTCCCCCCTTCAGTTCTGGCAAGCCAATCATTGCTGGTTGTCATAAAGCACTCACTAGTGGTTCGCCAGCGGGGGGGATGTCACCACAGACAGCAGATTTAAAAAGTACAGTATACTGTGAAATACAGAGTGATTTACCTGGCGGTGACAGGCTTAATCAGCATTGTGTGAACTCATTTGCAGAGGGCTTGAATATAACGGAAGTTCATCTATATGTAAAATTCCCGTGCTCAAGTTTTAAGAAAACTCCTGAAGTGCCACAGAAGACGTACACATTAAACTGTTTTTACAGGCTGAGTAGTACTCCACATGAAAGTAAACTGACCTTTATGTGTAGAAAACCCACAAAAAAGCCACAATGTCAGAGCAAGGCTGATTATTCAACATGAGAAGCATCGTCATCATCCTGTCCTTCACTTTCTTTTCTAACAGGCTTTCATTCATCTGCAAATTACTCTCAGACTGCTGTAGTGCAGCCCTGGTCCTCTTTTTATGCACTCCTCTCCAATTTGAAATGGATTTTCTTTCCAATATTCTGCAAAACACATAAACCTGTATGATGAAATGGATCCAAACGGAAACATGAAAGTATTATAATTATTGTTGCAAAAGAAATGGAACAATCACCAGCGCAGAATGTTGATGCAATTAGTCTAAATTAAGTATAACATAGCACTGTGTAACTAGTTGACAGAGCTGCAAAAGCAGCAAACAGGAAGTGTAAATTAGCACTGACAAGAACATTAAACTCAGAATAAATCAGCTTGAACAAACATTTGCCATTTCCAAATGTGATGTGTCTGCCAAATTGCATTATTTACATCAACAGCAACTCTCCGAGGCTGCTAAGCTATTCAGCTGACAAGAAAGAGCAATCAGGAGGCACATGAGAGCAGATGAAGAAAACGCCAGTGAAGGAATCCTCTGCATTAATCTCTCTCTTTCAAGCACACAGTCACCACCAGCAACCTTGTGGCAGTCTGTCTGTGCATCTGTACCAGAGTCATTACAGTCAGTAAACATAATAAGATGTTTAGCTAAAACACTTGCGGTTTAATTATGTGTGGCTTTTTGCCTCTGTGCGCTCGATGTAATGAGCGTGCGCGGTTTGTGAGATTATGGTTGTTAGCAAAGGAACAGGCGAGGCATGTCTGCTCAGTACCTGGGGGCGAGCTGTAAGAACCTCTCTGTGGCGAATCCAAAGGCTTTGTGAGTCAAACGGACCAGATATAGAGTGTGAAATGTTACCACAGGGCACTCTTAAAGCCCTCATAAAGCCCACTCGCTCTTAAAACAACCAATACCCACGCATCTGTCATTACGGCTCTTAACTGTGTTAGTGCATCCAAGAAATGCATATTAATCTTTGGGAAAAACATGTCAATGAACTGTAAGTGACAGTGCTGCTGATATGCAGATGATATCTGTTAGCATGACACGTGAATTAAAACAAAAATATAACTACGCCCCAAGAGAAGAAACAATTGCCTATTTTCACATGTAATATTGAAGGGGAAAATGGAAATGAATGCTAATCCTTCTTGAATGTGATCTTTTATTTGTGTCATGTGTGCATCCTATAGCACTCGGGCATACATTTGACAAGCCTCCATATGAAAATCTGGAGTGTAAATGCACTCAAGACGAACTGCTGAGCACCAGCCAAATTCCCAAACTATGTGAGGAAGTGGGCAGAAAGACACCGTGTTGGCGGTGAAGTCAAGAAAAGACTATTGGCAATTCTGAAACCAGCACTTTCTGTCTGCCTGACCGGCCACACAGCCGGATGTTTTGCATTCATCTTCAACTTTGCAATAAAAGAAAACTCTGACTTGAAAGAGGGAAAACAAAAGAAGATTGGATGCTAGCTTTGCTTAGCAAGTATTAGCAGTGAAGTATGGAAGACCAGCTGCTACCTGAGATATGCAAATAGCCGAAGACAAGCTTTGATGTAAATGAAAAAGCGGGTGCAGCACTGAAGCTTCCCTTGTGCCAGAAAGATCTTGCAAAAAAAAAAAAAGCAGGCACAATAATAATTCTGCACGAACTGTGAAGGTACATTGTAATGCTGGGGAGGTACATTATTCAAGGTAAAAGATCCAATTTCAGCGTGGGGCCTCCTAAAACATGCTCTCACAAGAGCTCTTGATGAAATGCAGATAAATTGTGCAGATTACTTATGAACCAAATCATGGATCCAATCTGGAGAGGAGCCTGCAATTTAAAGGGGCACTTTCATAAAGCTGGTAGACTTGCAAAAGACAAATAATTAAAATAATAACAGTCAAAATCAAAGCAGTAGAGGCCGAGAGTCCCACTCCCAAAACGCCAGGTTCCCACACTTAACACCCATAATGCCATTTGGTATAATCTCTTGCTAGACCCCAACAGTCTGGTAAAACACACACTTCTTATTAAATTTCACATCCCCAGTTAGTAACACAGGCTTTCTTGTAACGATGTGTGGATGCTCCCAGTGACTAGTTTGTAGTAGTAGTTTGTGACTGACTTTGACTTGTAAAATTAGTACAGTGCGCCTTTAACAGTCAGACTGACCTAGTTGAGAGGCATGCAGGCCTTGGCTGGACCTCCTCCTTCTGTCAGCTCTGTGCTCCCAGGCCTCACAGCCCAGCTCCCTTTTAGTCGAATGGGAACTTGGGGTCCATTCCTCTGGACTGGCCCAGCTTTGCTGCGTGGGGGTTCTGGGGCTCTGCGGACTGTGCGGCGACTGCGGCGTCCAGTGACTGCTCCTCTCACGGGGGTTCGGCGGAGGCGGTGTCAGGGGCAAGGGCTTCAGTTCTTGGTACTGCAAAGCTAAATCCAAGAGCGGTCTAGGGAGCAGTTCAGAGGTGGAGAAGGTGATGAGATCGTCCACTACTGGGGGGTCTGAAATGAGGGGTTTAGGGAAGGAGATCTCCGGTTCGGAGGGGGTGCGATCTCCTAGGGAAGAAGTGTTAGTTCGAGGGGGCACCCGTGGGGAAATATCCAGGCAGCGACCTAGTCCTACGGAGGCCAGGAGGGAGCCACCGCCCAGCAGGGCCTGATGGGTGCTCTTAATGAGACCACCAAGGGAACCTCTCTCAAGCCTGGGAGAGCCCACCGGAGAGGAACCCCCTTCCTCACTGCCCGAGTCTCGCTGAGGTAGTGGAAGCCGCAAGCTGTCCTTTACTGAGGAGCCTGCAGAGAGAGAAAATTGTTTGTTTTAAGTTTTACAAAGACAGGGACTAACGGAAGATATGTGGCTGGCAGTGAGGCGGCGTGGGATACCATTCTGAGCAGAGGGAGGGGTTGGCGCAGAGGGTCTGTACTCCTCAAAGTCATCCTTGGATTCGCCATTCTCATTGCTGTCCGACTCCAGGAGCTTGGCCCTCATCGACAGACTTCAAGTGGGAAGAAATTTAAAAACATTTCAGCATGGTGATGAAATGAATTACATTGAATGTAATCAAATCCTTGTATAAAAGAAAAAGGGCAGTCCTGCTGTACCTGCTTTCCTGGGGACTAAGGCGCAGGACTTTAGGGCTTTTGGGACTTTTTGGGCTCTGGGGCCTCCAGTTGGGGCCCAACCTCAGGTCTCCATTGGCTTGTTTAAGAGAAGGGGCCTCTAGAGGCCAGACTGGGCTCAGACCAAACGCCCGGCTGTTGTCACTGGGACTGACTGCAGAAAAAAAAGGAAGAAAAGAAAACAGGGTTAAATTAAAATGAGCTTCTATGTCATCAGTATGCATACTGCTTAGCTGTATTTTAATGAGGTGAGCATTTATAAAAATACCAGGTTTCACCAATAAATTGACGCGCAGCTCTGCAATCATCTCCAACACAATGACCTTTAATTGACTCCTGCTACAGCTAGAATTCATGAAACTCCCGTGCCATTTTTCTGCACAGCTTAAGAGCTGATTAACTCTAAAACTGTTTTAAGATTACCTCGTCACGAGGATATAGTCTAGATGGTAACCTCCAAACGGTTCACAGAAGAGAACGTGTGAGAAGAAGGAGTGGAAGTCTTCTGGGAAAAGATGAGAGGATGTGCAGAGTGCTAAAAAAAAAAAAGTTGGGATTTCACCTGCCATTCACTGTTCACATGCTTTACCCAGGCTCTGGCACCCTGTCTCATCCTACCAACTGTGTTGCGCAGCTAACAGAGTGTGTGAACATGCTGGGCTTCCTGCCACAACACCTCCCAACATACAGACTCCATTCACAGCCTTTAAGTTTGTGATTTGTACAAGGGCGTATTAGGGGCCATTGCATTTATTTTTACAGAGGGCTTATGTAAAACTCGAAAAATTATACTTATAGTATAGAAGGAAATATCTCATAATAGTAGTTTGTGAAAGTAGCTTATATGTTGTTATTAACATCTGCATACCCTGCTTTACTAACCTTTCTCGGAAACGTTTGCCAGGGTCTTTTCTCAGAATATTACTCAGCTCCACAGGCTCTGTATTTTTTTCTTCTGCTTACAATGGCCCTAAAAAGCCGTCGTAGATTTGTGATATTGGGCTATATAAATAAAACTGAACAACCAACACATTTGTGACTTTTAGACACAAAAGTGGTCTGGACACCATTGTATTAAATGCAAACAACAAACTTACTTTTTACCTACTAAAACCTACTTAGTATTACCTAGTATTATTATTATAAACCTACTATTTTATATCAGAGTTCTGGTGCTGCTTACTTCCAGTGGTTACCTCAGCTTCATAAATGGGAGAAAAATAAATGTGCTCTCAGAATGGACATGTATTATTTTTATTGGCCTCTACTAGACTGAAGGCCTGGCTGATGCACTTTGCCTCTCATCACTCTCCAGCAAAATGTTTTCAAAGCAAGCACAAAAGTCAGGTGATGGTGCATTGCAATTTCATCAAGATCAGAACTTGGCTTGAAAAAGCTCCCCTTTCCGAGCATATTCCTCTGTAAACACATTTCATTTTGCAATATGCCATCATCTTTTGATGGAATATATCCTGTTGGTTATAATACTTTAGTATATTTCACAATTTCCTCCTCTGCTCATCATCTGTCTCCTGCTGAGACAAAATGCGAAATCCATTTACTGCTATGAAACAACAAGAGTCTACAGCCATGCTAGTGGCTCTTTGGGGCTGTACTTAAGCACAGAGGAGCTTCCAGCAGCTGTTTCTAATGTCAGTGTGGTAACCTGCTCACAATGACAATGATTTTTAGCACATATTATGTTCACCACCTTATTTTAGCTTGGAAGTGTGCTAACATTTGCTAATTAATATTACATAATACTGCTTAGGATAATATTTACATCATCACATAAGCGGAGGTAGCCTGGGTGCATGGGGCCGGCCGACACAGGGCCCACACTGCCTATGTGGACTATGAAGATTTTCCTCCGCTTATTATAGTGGACACGAACAAACAACAACAGTATATGATGATACGCTGTACCGGGAGAATTCAGCAGCTTTTATCAAATGGAACAGTCTCTTCACTCATGGTTTCCATGGTAAACCACCACAAGAATGACAACAAACACACTAGATTCTAAGTAGACACATTTTAATAAACATAACTCAAATAAAGTAACATTTGTATTTTAATCAAATGGCAAACTTATTAGCACATTTTAACAAAACTCCCTTCACCCTCTGAGGAAGGGGCATAGGCTGCGTGTGCGCAGCGGTTTATTTACGGCATCAACTTCCACTGGAAGCCTCTCAGGAGCATTTCTGCAGCGAAGCGTGTAGCCTGCCCCACGTTAATGACTTGTTTTTAAGTGTCCTTTTTATGCTTCTACTACATTCTTCAAAGCTCTCTGTCGCTCGCTTTCGTTTCTCGTCTTGACGGGAACTACCACAGGGAGCATTTCAGAATAAGAGTGTTTTACCTGCTGGACTTTGCCAACAGATTTTGTTGATTAGGGCTTGCTTTTTGTGCTTCTACTATGATTAAGTAGGCTACGTAGTGAAAATGTTAGTTTTTTATCTGATTTAACTGTGTTTATTGTTGATATATGATCAGGAGTCTGTAACGGGTATTTTATTTTGAAAATTGACCGTTTCTCTGCCGTTTCTGTGTCTGACTTCCTGCCCGGTTCATCTGCGCTGAGCTGCTTGACGCTAGGACGCTGTCTGGATGCACTCAGTCTATGGACGCACTGCAGCGCTTCCTGTGTAAGCACAAACATTTAGTAGAAAGGCTGCTCCGGCAGCAGCGAAGCAGACAGACTCAGTGGACTTTCGGAGTAAGTCTGGGGTCATGTAAACTTGGTTAATATGTCTTTGTAGCAGGTGGGCCCACGATGAAGCTCAGCCCCCACTGTGCTGACAGTCTAGCTCCGCCCCCGCACATAAACATAAATGTGAAAACTTAAATACCTCTGGTACTGGAATGAGCACTAGGACTAGGAGGGAAGCACAAAAACTAATCCTGCCCCCACAGATAGAACAAATAAATGAGGGTAGCAATACCTATAAGTTGTCAGCAAACATGATGCATTCACTGCGCCCTCCTGTACTAATTTGTATGAACTGAACACTGCTGAATGAAGCTCGGTGGACTCATGCAAATCAATCTGGCAGTTCTCTAGACAAATAAGTTGGGGGAAGCCCCACCAATAAATCACTGCTTGCTACTGAGAGGGCAAGCATAAATACCCACTAAACACATTTTAATGACAGGCACACTTATGGCTTAGTGATTGCCATTAAGGAAAGCCATTAGGAAGTAAAGAAATCCAGCCCTCTATTTGATGAGTAAATGAAGCTGGCAGATGTTTTGAATTTACTAACCACTTTTTCAGATAAATGTTTCACCGCAATTTGTGCTTTCACGTCAACTCCCATTGCTACACCACAAAATTTCCTTTATGGGTTTTTGGGGGGGTTTTGTTAAGACGTCCAGTGGCGTACTGGCTACAATTTCCCTCCAAAGGAAAGCGATCTCTGGGCGTTTGTCTGAGAGCCTGACAAGCAGAAGAGCATTGTAAATCTCTGCCGCTGCTGCAACTCTTCTCAGCCCCTTATTCCAGAGCAATGAATTCCACCCTGCTTATTTTTAAAGCAAACCACACTGTAGCCACTACATGTATGTAGAACTGAGGACTCCTGGAAAATACAGCCCAATGGCTCCCCCTGCTGCAACAATGAGGAAACAGCCGGCAGGGAGAGCAGAGCGTGGAGTTGCTGTGGAAAAAAAGCTGCTGTGAAGTGCTGAGCAGCTGAGAGGAAGTCAGATAATATTTGGACTGGAACAGACTGCTGAAAAGGGAAAGGGTGTGTGTGTGTGAGAGAGAAAAAGCAGCGAGGCAGGGAGAGAGAGAGGGGAGGCACACAGGGAAAGGCAAAAAAGATGAGTGGGTGGTTGGGAGCACATGAAAGGAGAGAATTTGGAAACTGACAGAAGTAATGTTGCAACATAGTCTGTGTGTGCATTCAAAAAGGGGAGATATCCTACATTCTTCTTTTTTTTAAAAAACGTCTTTGGAAGCACAAGCGTATGTGCACCTGTGTGCGTTTATTTCAACAGGAAAATGGTTGCACTCACGTTGGATCGCACGGAAACGTGGGCCGAAGGAGGGTGAGGAGCCCGAACCTAAATCAGGAGAGTTCCGCCTCTTCTCCAGGCCCGGGGAAGCCTGGACTGTGATCTTATGAATGAAATCTGCAAAAAGGACACACATGCACAAACATATACGACAGATGTTAGACCACCTGGACGGCAGACACCAACCACGATATGCACATAAATGCTGTGAGGAGAGTGTTTGTTTACGGAGAACAGAGAACTTGCGTGGCTAATTTCTGTGCTGTGTTTGAGTGGGAACTGGCCATTTCATCTTCAGCCTAGCAAATAACTACTAGCTGTGGCTAACAGCATGCTACTGCTACTACTTGTAACTACCTAACACAGCTAATAACAAGCTACAGAGCCCAGTAGGTGTAAGGAGGGAACATTTGAATAAATATTTCCCTAAAATTGGTAATTTTATGCCCTAAAATGACAAATGATTCCCTCAAATGAACTCATATAAATTTGTTTTCTACGTCTCTCTGTTCAGTAATTTGCATCCTTGTTCCACTTAATGTTTTCTTTGGAATTAATGACATCTGCTCCTTCCTTTTCTCTGATAAAGGGCAGCAGTGCAGGGCAGAACTATTTCTGCTTGTCAAGGGATGTACAAGAAGGATAAAACATCGTGTTTAACCATACAAATATGGAAGTAGATGAAAATAAAACTACTAAATCAAAAGAAATAAAAGGTGATAATGGCAGATAACTGTACTAATTCCAGGAATGATTTTCTGAAGATTTTGCCCCTGATGCTTCCATATGTTCCATAGCAATTAGCTTCTAGTTGTAAGCAGTAACATCTCGTAGCAGTAGCAAGCTAGAGCTTACTTGCTGCTGATGGTAAAAAGTAAAAGGGTATCAGGAGGGAACAACAATTTATTCCCTTAAGTTAGTAATTCATGCCCTCAAATTATAAACCAATACCTCAAAATAACATTGCACTCAATGTATCCTTTTCCTTCCCTCAATCTCTAATTATTGCTCTCGGCTTTCTTAAATGTCATGTTTAACTGCAAACACCTAAAGTACTATTAACCAGGTATGTATGTATGTCAGTGTAGGTCTTTGTCGGTGAAGCACAAGAAAACCGTGCAAGGAACGAAGAAACAAGGAATTATGTTTTTACAGAAATGAGAAGTCTTTCCTCCGAAGCGTCATGTGAAGCAACGTCAGCAGCTGATTGCAGCCGTCAGTGGGCTATAAAAGCTGTAGACCCTTTTGATGGAGTTTGTGTCTGCATGTGTGCACTGTGCTAATATTAATTTAAAAAAAAAATAGGTACACAGTTATCACTGCCAGAGCAGCATGTTTTCTCTCTGTAGCTGCGGCACTGTGTCCTGCTCAGAGGCACAGGATCATTTCTACCGGCACAATGCCTTTCTTTCTTTCATTTATTCATTATCTGCATCTGTATTTATTGATACTCTGATTGTGAAGGCATTACTGATCAACCCAGAATATGATCATGGTGTCTTTTTCAACACTGGAAATGATTTATCAGGCCAAATGTTTCAGGGAAATATGAAGTGATGTAACTCATATCAAAGCAGATGTTCAGCAATAATCTAAAATAAATAATGTAAATTCAATCTTGCTGACAGACCGACTCTCTGACCTCATAGTGAAATCATAGTAAAAGTTAATGGGGAAAATAATGGTCCTTTTGTTGTTCAGACCTACAATGAACACAGATTTATATCTAGATGGTGAATCAGAAAACAAATCAAATATAAAACTCAGGAGTGACACACATGAGTTTAATCTGATATCTGTTTGAAACTCCAGAGGTGTGTTGATGTATTAGATCAGTCCGATCAGCTGCAGCGTCCAATCAATAAGTGATATCCAATAAGGGGGCGTGTCAGCCAGTAAAAGACTTCCATGAACCCTGCTCTTGTGTATCCTCGCTCATGGCTCCTTGGAGATCCCTAGTCACTCCTGTGAGCACAAACAAGAGCTTTGGGACGGCCTGCAAGGTGGTTGAACAAGAACAACTTCACTGTTCAGGTGAGGAGCAAGGAAATGTCAAATAAGAAACTTGCTGGCAACTGAGCTGACTAAAGCTACATAGTGTTATTAGGAAGTAGAACCTGGGGCTAAAGATTAAACACAGAATGGATGTTGACACATTTCCTTTGCAATACTGATCACTTCTACTCAAAGTGTAGCTGGAATGACAGCCACATCACAGAAATTATGCTCAGCTTCCTCTATATTCCCAGCCTGTTTATTCTGTGTATATTTCGCCACTATACAACAAGCCAAATTTGGGATACAACTGCAAAGCCTCTATTAGCCAAGAATTGATTTTTACATCATATGTTTTTAACCTTTACATTTTTATCCTTTATATATATTTTTTTGATTCTTCATATTTCACACGCCTTTTAGCACAGCCATAAGATAATGCCACTAATAAAACCTAAAAAACTCTAAATAAGAACATCATAAGCATGTTCTTATTCATATCTACTTCCAGAGAATATGAGATAAAGCATAACATATCAGCTACTCCACAGGGTACACACAGAGCAAGAGCAACACAGGATGCAGAAAAAAGATAATATAGTACGGGGGAAAAAGGAAAGGAGGTTAGAAGGAGAATAAAAACACACACTACAGGATCCAGAGGGGAGAGGACTGAGAGAGAAAACGGGTGAGGGAGGGACACTTAAAAAGGAAGGTCGAGGGAGAGGCACGGCGTGAGAGTGAGAAAGTGAGAGAGGCCAGCCAGCAGTGTATCCATGGACAGGAAGCGCCGAGGCGTGGTTGGCTCACTCTCCCCTCTCATCAACCCCCCCCACCACATCACCGCCCTGCTGCTGCTGGGAAAGGCCTTACCACAACACACACACACACACACACACACACACACAATACATTTACGCATGCTTGCTCAGGCCAAAATACACTCACACACGCATTAATACACTGGATGTGGGACTGCAGTAGGCTGTGTGACTTTGTGATAGCACTTAAGAAACAGCACCCAGCTGAGTGTTAGGGGAAAAAGAGGAGTGAAAGCTGAGTGTGTTGGTCAGTGAGTCAGACACATTATCCACCTTTCACAGGATGAGTGCTGAATTCACATACATGACTAAAGATGGTCTGGCTTTTGTTGCAGGGCCCTTTTTAGAATAAAATCGCGAGGGAATGTTTCAAAGAGTTTTCACATTATTTAAGTTATTGTACGAGAACAGAAAGTAGGGCCAATCTGCAGCCTCCTTTTCTAAATATCGGCCTTTAAACGTACACAAGTCCGGCCCTGACAGGAACCTTCAGCAAAGCCGAGATACAAAATTACAACAGTCCAACCACAAAACTGTCTCCCTCATTTACTTTTCTCAGCTCTCTTGTATTTTTTTTTTTTTACTGTTGTTGTTGATGTTTTGAGCCTAACGGCCTTTGGGATGAAATTTCTCTCAAGACAAGTTGACAATATCCACTAAAGACTTCATTTGTGACAGAACTCAAAAACACTTCAAACAGACACACACCTTGAGGCATGCTGATCTTCTCGCCGTTCTTGCTCTTGAGCTTGTGCTTCTTGAAGGTGCCCTTCCGCTTCTTGACGTTGGGTTTCTCCTGGTTCTGGTTCAGGTGGAGGATGAGGAGGCTGAGCTCACGCTCGAACACGTCCTGCTCCCACTGGGCCAGCTGCTGCTCACGCTGCCGCAGGAACTCTTCGTGGGACTTCTGCTCCAGAGCCGCTCGCTTCAGCTCCTCCTCACGGCATCGCAGCTCCTGATGGAGAAGGAAGGACTCTCAGATGAAAGAGATGTGGAACCGCAGGTTTCTTTTCAATATTCTACCTAAGATGACAGCTCTACTGCTCAACTCAATTAGCTTATTTAATAATATAATTAAAATGATTACAGACCAAATCTATCATCTCCTGTCCTCAACCAGTATAGATTTATCTTCAAACTTAGCAACCTCAGAAACAACTGTTATATACCTGATATATATTTAAACTGCATTGCTCCCATCAATCTTCACCAACTAACTTCAACTATCACTTCATCTAAACCATCAACCTGCCTCTTAGACCCCACCCCTACCAGGCTGCTTAAAGAAGTTTTACCCTTAGTCAGCACTTCTTTACTAGATATGATCAATCTGTCTTTATTAACGGGTTACGTACCACAGTACTAGTACAAGTAGCTGTAATTAAACCTCTTCTGAAAAAACCCACTCTTGATCCAGGGGTTTTAGCCAACTATAGACCTATATCTAACCTTCCATTTCTCTCTAGGATCCCTGAGAAAGCATTCGCCAAACAGTTGTGTGACTTTCTACATCGCAATATTTTTTTCAGTCAGGATTTATAGTTCATCATAGCACAGACACAGCACTGGTGAAAATTACAAATCACCTTCTAATTGCATCAGACACAGGACTTGTCTCTGTACTTTTCTTGTTAGATCTTAGTGCTGCATTCAACACCATTGATCATCATATCCTATTTCACAGACTTGACCATTTAATTGGCATTTAAGGAGCCACTTTAAGCCTATTTATCAGATCAATCTCAGTTTGTACATGTTAACGATGAATACTCCAGGCACACCAAAGTTAGTAATATTATTATCAGGAAACACTCCATTGACTTTCATTGTTATGCAGATGATACCCAATTATACCTTTTATTCAAGCTAGATGAAACCAATCAGTTAGCTAGCTAAACTTTAAGTAAGCCATAAGGATGTAAAAAACTGGATGACGGGATGTCTGATGTTAAACTCAGACAAAACTGAAGTTATTGCACTCCTCTATATATAAAGATATAGCTACTCTAGATGGCATCACCCTGACCTCCAGTACCACCGTGAGGAATCTCTTTCGGATTCTTCTTTTTAACTTAAAATATGATCTTTGTTGAACCTTTTAACCATTTTGCTTTAATTGGATAGATGCACCAATGGTTTGTTTGATGGACACAAGATCAGCATAATCGTGATGTGAAATATTTATGACTATGTGTTTCACACAAGTGATTACTGTGTACTGACTGCTTCTTACCTTCTCTTTTGCTCGGAGTTCATTGAACATGTCCTGGATCTCCAGTTTCCAGTCCTCCTGCAGGGAGTGGAAGGAGTCCTGCGGCATATCGTCCTTCACCTGCTGCTCCAGTGCCGTTAGCTGGGCCAGGATGGAGCTGAAATTGGGTCTGCGGTGAGGGTCCTGGTCCCAGCACTCTGTCACACACACACACACACAGCAGACACAGTCAGACGCCAGGGTCCACACTGCTGCACTTGTGATAGTGTGACAGAGTCATTACTAAAACAACTGCACTTTATTAAGCATGAATGCGTGGCTGTCCTCACACTGATGCAGAAATAAGGAAGTAGTGGACCAATGCAGAGTAAAACAGATAGTAAGGCGGTTCAGGAGTTTCTCTTCTTTTGAGCATTTTCTTGAATCAATGGACCTGAAAGAAGGAAACCACTCATCGATTCCCCCCAATCCTCAAACATACTGATTTGCATTAAAAAAGAAGAAAGCAAATATTTCGGCCCTATTGAAAGGTGTAAGACTTCAAATCAGGTCAAAAGACTTATTAAGATGGATGTTTCTGCACTCTTAACACTTCATATTGAATGAGTATCCTGCAATCCCTCTAATTTTATTTACACATGCTTCAGGCACTTTTGCTAGCACAATCCAGAGTCAAGCTGATCACTTATTCAAAGTGTTATGCTTAATTAACTTGCTGTGGGTTTTTTTGCATAATTTGCAGCAACACTTTGGGCACTACAAGCAGATCAAAAACCAATCCGATAATTAATTAATCCTCTGAGGTGGCTATCGGTGGTTTTGTGCTCTGATCTCTCTTTTTTTATATATATATACATATATACACACACAACTGTAAAAGACAAACTAGCATCAAGAGAAGGGGCTATGCAGAAGGAATGTAATCTACTTCTTGGCAAATTGTATGTCAGGAGCGAAGCAGATAACAGGCTGGTGGCATGTCAGAAAGTACCCAGGTGACATTTCTTCTTTAGCATGAAACTGAAGAAAGGAAGAACAAAAATGGGTACAAACATATTGCACAAGGTGGCTCCAGCACAAAACACTTCCTCTCCACGGCTACATTATTAGCAACATACAGGATTTGTTTTCTCTCATTTTCAACCCAGCTTTGGGGAAATGGAAAATAGTGCGTGCCGGAAACACCAATTCGATCTCACGCAAGAGTACTCTCACACCACTAAGCTGAAAGTCAGTGCCGAAACAGTGCATTCGATTACATTTTCTAGCATAAAAAACACATGACCCACCGGCCATGAGCTGAGCAAAGGGTTCAGGGCACGTGGAAGGGATGGGCAGGGTGAGCTTGTTCACAGCGACTCCGTAGGCGACTGCAAGGCCATCAATCCCTTTGTAGGGTGCCTCTCCTGTTAGGAGCTCCCACAGCAGAACACCATAGCTGGAGGGGGAAAACACAGACAACAAGGCATGAGACAGTATACTCAGACCAAAATTAGACACAGGATAAATCTTGACACATGCTACATGATGAGGTAAAATGTGCTTTATACATGAGTATGAACTGCTTACGGACTATTTAAATACTGTATATGATGGTGCTTTTAAAAGGAGAATCACTCATTAAGTTGTGAACTGACATAAAAGATAACATTGTCTACTGTCTTCATATATTTCCGGATAAATTTCAATAGTAATTTTTCTACTTCTTGTACAGCACATTATACCTTATACAGTTATTACCAAAGCACTGACTGGTACAGAACTAAGAGACATTTGTGCAGTGGAATCTTTTTGCTTGATGAAACATATGCTTGCAGAGCAATGTGAATTCATGCATGCAAAATTTGTACAAACACAAACACACACAGGCCTTTTGAGCCCACACAATGGGAGCAGCCCTGTGTCCTAAGAAGATGAAGCGTGGCGCAGGACTTGGATCTCCCACACTGTCAATTAGCCCTTGCCTGGACCTGACTGAGCGCACTGCGGAGGCTCGCTAAGTGGAGAGCGCAGGCCGCAGCCCTTTTTTATTTAGTTCTTTAATTACAACTTCCACACACTGTGACTTTGCAGAAACGCTACTCATCGGCTCGCCCCGAGGCGGTCGTCGGCTCTGCGTGGCGGCAAGACATAGATTACCCTTCATTTTCAGAGCAGTGCTGCCTGCCTGCCTGCCCGCCCTCCACTCGCTCATTTTGCTGTTTTCCAGATTGTTTTGTGAAAACGAGCATGTGTGTGTGGGTTTGTTGTTGATGGACGCTGGAGTTGGAAACCGTGAGGATGTGTGTGTAAGATAGTGAGATGGCACTGAGCCCTTTAGGGTAGTAAAATGCTGTACACTCTTACTAAATAGGGCTCCTAAAGTACCAGAAAATGTCTTAAGTAGCTTGCACAATAGCAGAATCCTTTTTGAATGTTCTCAAGGACACTTTCAAAAAGGTTCTTATAACAGCATGCTCAATTGGTTTCACATAGGCTCTATATGAGGCTGCAAAGAACCATAAGAATGGATGAAATGGGCCAAATCCACAGGATTAAAATTAAAGCACAGCATATGAGAGTAACTGCCATAATGCAGCAGAGCCATGAATGTGTTATTGCTTCAACAAATATCAAATATCTTTTTCCCTATTGCTGAGCAAAAACACCCCTGCTTGCTTCACTCCAAATACAAATTCACTTAAAAGCCATCGTGAATCCCCTCAACAAATCACTCAGCTATTTAAGTCATTATTATAAAGCCACAAACCATAATCAAGGGACTCTTCTCTTTCTGCGTGGATGTGACCAAACACACACACACACACACACACACACACACACACACACACACACACACACACACACACACACACACACACACAGAACTATTCCCAGATAAAGGGCCGTGGTTAGGTCTGGTGTGTGGCCTCCTTCTCTGTCTATGCTGGAGACAATGGGACAGTGTGTAGTACACATGTCCAACAACAAAGCACAGAGCTGCTCTTTGAAGAGACACCATCACATGGCTGTGGCGGCCTTGCTGCAATCCATCACTATGTCCTCCATCTCTTCATCTGTCTCCCACCATCACTTCTCTGCACTTTCACCCTTCCCCCTCTATATCCATCATATTTTCTGTCCACAGGCCCCTGCGGCAGATCCACTCTCTTACTGAAGAGCTGCAGAGAATTGCTGCAGACTTCTGTCTATATATACTTATATACTGTTTGATTATATTTCAGCACTGCTACAAAAGACTGAGGCATGTCAAAGGGGCATACTCGACAGTCAGTCATGTCAGGGGACTTACAAGAGACAGATTAACAAAGAAAATCAAAGCAGGAGATGTTGACTTTCAGCCTCTGGTTTGGGTCAAGGTCAGAATGAGTGAACTGACTTAGATATGGAATCTGGAAATAGCCTAATGAATTCTAATGGTACCTTGTACGGCTTCTAACTGTTCTGAGTCAGCCCCCGGGAAAGCACTGTGAGGTGATTTCGGTGTTGTGGCCACACTCTGTAGTTCAGTATGTGACATTCATTGGCCCAAAAAGCAGGGAGTCATTGTTTTGTCACAAACCCTGTGAAATGTCTCGTATTATCACAATTTGACTCATTCAGTCCAATCAAAATTAGATAGTGTAGAAGAGCCAAAAGTCTCAAACATGAATGCTCTCAACCAGCAAGAAAAAGACCGTAGTGAGTGTAATGTTCCTACTGCACCAGATGAATAACAACTTACTGAACAGCAACATGGTCTATCTGTCCCTTGCAGACTGTCAGTAGACTGTCCGGATTTTGTACCTCCACCAGGTGGCGTAGTTTCACGGTGAACACACAGTGAGCATGCTCCATGGGCCAGAAAACGCAGCACTGTGCGGGAACCCTTGGAGGCTTTTTCGGCATATGCGCCTAGTGAGCACGAACGAATGTGGCGCCATCAAACGAGGTATCCACTTCTTTTCAATACATGCATGATTCTGAGGGTACAGTTGTCGCCATCTTTGCCGAGAGTTAGACAAGAAGACCGATACTGCTGTCACAATTAAAGCTGGGGCCGGTACTGTCGGTGAAACCAGCAAGAGGAAGACAGATTTTGAAAGAATCCAACCGAAAACACCCCATCTCTTCAGGCCTCCCTCCAAAGCTATTCCCCCAAAACACATTTTCATGTTTATGGCTGCCTTTCGATCTCTCTCTCTCTCTCTCCCTCTCTCCCTCATTATGAGATAACTGTTGTCATGATTTGCCACTATCTAAATAAAATTGAATTGAAATTAAATTGAACTATAGTCCTTCTGCAGCCACAGATACCAGAATTGTTTCGTTTTTTCCCCCAGACATTTACAGATATGCGAATACAATACAAACAATCTACCCCCAGCATTAACTCATATATAACATTAATGACAAACTTTATAGGGTGGTTAGGTGTGTATGACTCAGAGATTCCTTTTCTAAGAACCACCAGGTTTGAGTTACAAGTGTAAATTGTTCAAACGTGGACTAGCTATTAGCTGTCTGTTTCTATAGAAACAAGAAAGCACATGTTTCTGTGCAAGCCTTCACACAGTGCAACTTCATTACCAAGCGTTTTTTGCTATACATTCTTGGGAAATCCCTCTTAATCAGACATGTCACCGTCACCATAGAAACACTAACATTAGTCAGTCAAGCAACTTGCATCAGTCTGGTGCCAGTGAAGTTAGGATTGTTAGATTTGGTGCTTTTTTTTTTTTTTTATTATTATTAGCTCACGATGAAGTATGAGTTCAAATTCAATAGGCACCGATGTTGACTGTTACAGAGACAACCTGTGACCTTTTGGTTAAAATTTTTCTACACATTAATATATAAAACATACATTTTTGTTCTACCCAAGAAGTTGGTAAAGGTTACCCTTTAACTTACATTTCGACATTGACATTTCAGGAAATACATCTGCTTGCATCCTCCACTTAGCCCCACTTCATATTTAGCATTCAGATGTTAGAGTAGTTTCAATCTCCTCATCTAACTCTCAGCAAGAAAGTTTCCTTTAAGGTGCTGTGAATCAATCCATAGCTCCTATTTATAGAAATTATGAAGAATGCAACAGGCTTTTGTTAACATATGTACTTTAAAGCCCACATTTGCACATCATAAAAACTGGTACAGCTAAATTCCATTACAAATTACATGGCAGCTAAATACTGCTGAGCATCAGGAACTTCTACATCTGCGCCCACACAGAAACACACACAAGCACTCACCTCCAGACGTCGCTGCCCTTGGAGAAGGTGGAGGACTTGATGACCTCGGGGGCCATCCAGGCGTAGGTGCCCGCGGTGCTCATCTTGGTGGTCTTGTGCCACTCTCTCGCCAGGCCAAAGTCGGTGATCTTCAGTGTCAAACCCTCCATACATTCATTCTCTATGGGCTGAGCTAGAAGGACTGGAGGAAGAGAGAGGGGCAAAGGAGGAGAGAAAGACAGGTAAGTTTAAAAACAGTTAAATGAGTTGAGTAATTCAAATGAAATAAACTGCATCGCTGCTTTTTTTTGTGCACTTTTCTTGACTGTAAAAGAGAAAAGTCATGCAAGACTGAGCTTATACTTCAGTACACATATTCACAAATACTCAGTTTCTTTCTCACTTCCTCTTCTTGTTTTGTTGCCACCACAATGCAATGACTGACAATACATTTCCACGAGTTCAATTGCAACTAAAGGGGACAGAGCGTTTGCTGTCAGGGCCCCGAGGCTCTGGAACAGCCTGCCCGAGGAAATCAGGTCGGCTGAGTCAGTGAACTCTTTTATGTCCCTTCTTAAAACATACATTTATAGGAGAGCCTTTCCCGATCTTATTTGACTTTATTTTATCCCTTTTATTTTATTGTATTTTACTAATTTTATATTAATCTGTATTTTAGTCTTTTCAATGTTTTCATGCTCTTATCTTGTTTTTTGTATTATTCTTTACACTTGTTAAAGCACTTTGTAACTTGTTTTTGAAAAGTGCTCTACAAATAAGGATTATTATTATTATTATTATTATTATTATTTTTATTTGACTGATCACTGTAAATCCAGGTACATAAATCCCCGTCCCTTTAAACAAGTGAAATGATCAATGTCCCTAGTGGGTGATTGGCTGCAATGCTTTAAACAAAAGTCTTATTTCTTCAGGCTTTGTCTATAGCATGACCAAACTGTTTTTGTTCAAAATGTTTCCACCCAAGTGAGCGCTGTCGTCACCCTGGACTGGCTAAACATGTGGGTCACATGGGGACGAAAAGAGAGGAAGCACCATTTTTAAAATGAATGTTAAGAGTATCTATAAGTTTAGGGGCTGTGACTGCAGTGCAATGGGACTCCTGCCTGATGCACATTCTATCGTCTCTCATTGGGTCACATCGTCACTTTTTAGATAAGCTAGCTAAAACTTTCCCTAAACAGTTATTTATTGACCTAAGCTTTGACTTAGCCCCACAGGAGACCTCACGCCCAATTGCAACTTCAAACAGAGATGCGTTTTTTTATAGTTTTCCATCATCGATTTACAAAGATCCACTTTGCTACATGTATGCTGACGTGCTTGTAATCGCGACATGACTTTTACCTGACTGCTGATAACTTCTCAAATTGACATGATAACATCACACTGGAAAACATGTACAACTACATAGTGCTTAAATATACTTAGAAATAAACATTTCGATGGACTAAATTGTGTCCAAGAACAAAAAACCCAAACTGGCTTACAAGGCAGAATATCAATTTCCATGTACATACAGTAGGTGTGAGGCCAAATGTACAAATTATAGGAAAACTAGCCCACACTCAGTGCAGCTTCTCATTGCACTGCTACGCCCATCCGCTGGAATACCAAGTTTTTAGAGAGTACCATGTGACCATTCCTCCTGCCGCTGCTTCAGATTAAAAGCTTTCCCTCACTAGAACTACTAGAGGACCTTTAATGTGAAGCAGCCTCACGATGAACACATAATAAACAAATCTGCAGGCTGCATCCAGGTTCCACAGGTACAGACAGACTGTGTGCATAGAGATCCTGTATATCCAGATTGTGTCAAGATCCACTCGAGACAGATTACAGTTCACACATTATTATTTGTAGTTGTCCTCTCAGGCTGCATAGTCACAGAGGGGATTTGGTATTTGATACTGACATTACTGTCCTGGGAAAACCATGTATCTCTGAAACATAAACTTCTCACGAGCTAAGCAAAACAGCCCTGTTTTCAGCTTCATAACAATTCCTTTTTTAAGAGGCAGGAGCCCAGAAAAGGACATTTAATGAAAGAATCTCTAAGTATTTCCACAGATTTGGCGATTTGCAGGTCAAAACGGGGCTTGGTCTTTATTTATTTTTTTTGTAAATCTCGATTATATTACATAAAAATGTACCCTCAATTAGATTCAACCTGCTCTCGAACCTGCCACTCATTTCCATGTTTTGGGCAAGTCCAGCCAATGAGCAAATATTGATCGTTTTTGACACTTTTAAATCTGTAGTGAAGAACCACAGACCCAGTAATTGCAATTTTTGGTGCGGCCCCAAATGTGCCAACATTTTCCGTTGCTCCATCTGATGCTACAGCTTCCCTATCACTCTTAACTAACAAAACGTCTTATCCTACTAAGATGGAAACACCCCCATCACATGCACAGTGGGTTGGTATATCATTATTGTTGTGCTTGTTTTTGTCATGTGCTTTTGTTATTTTTTATGTGAGTAATTAGATTACGGCGCCATATTTTACTGCGTTTCAGGTCCTAACTACGCATTCAGTATGAAACCTACATAGTAAACTACATTTAGCCCAGTTTTCACCAACTTTATGGAACTCTAAATCTACAGAAACTTGCATTTTGTTGTTTTTATTTTCAACTTGGGGTTGATTTTCTCACTTAAATATGACACACACTAGAGCCATTTGATTTAAGAACACTTTCTACATAGGGAGGGATACACCTAAGAGCAGAAACATAGAAAAATCTGATATGGATGACTGATATTCAAGAATGGGTGCACTATAGACGTAAACACAGAGATCCAAAATGAGAAAAGTACATACTGTAAAATGTAATAACCTATAAGTAAACACATTTTGATAACCAGCCAATGTTTTGCAACCATGCGGCATTGTTTTTATGAAAATAGAATATAATGTTGAGGATGTCGGTTGCTGCGGTGTGACTATGTATCACATGTCGCAGTATGATTGGCAGCCATGCCTCTCTTCCCCTTTGCTGGCAGGCTGGGCACTATTCAGGGCAAGGCTGGCCGTCAAATGCAGGGAGGAGAAGCAGCGAAGAATTTGACTTATTATAGGGAAGTAAGACTCCTGCTATTTGCAGTCACTTTCCGACTTTCCGGGCTCCATGCTCTTTTTTTTTTTCTCTTCTTCTTTTGACTGCATCTTTCTCCAGTCTCTCTTTTCTCTAACCACACAAATAATGAAATTTATCTTTTTCTACACATATGAACGATTCTGTCTCTTTCTCACTTTGTTGTCTCTGCCTTTGTGTCTCTCTCAGACATCCTGTGCTGTGCCTCGTAGCCCAGAGGCAACGAGTTTGACGTCACAAAGGAATGCATCACAAGAGGTTGTGTTGTCTGCTCCGTGTGTGTGAGTGTGAGTGCATGCGTGTGAACGTCGAAGAGGATAGGAGACTTGGTTCTTTCATAATGTAATGCACTTGCACGACAATTTCTGCACCCAGTTCTGCTGAAACCACACATACCTCCAATAGCAACGGCATGTGTGATTTTGTCGGGTCTGTCTCTAATATGGTGACAATTGCTGAAGGCTTTTACTTCACATTCTCAACAGCCTCCCTTTATTCTATCAGCATCAACGGTTGTCCATCATAGACAGCAAAAGTAGCCAATGGCCAAAACAAAAACAATCTCTACAGTGTGAAAAAAGTGCCCACTCATTTAACCTTTTTGCAAAAAATCAATTTATATCCATTCTACGGTTGAGTCATTGTTTCTGTCACAGGCCCTAGGGGAAAGGGTGGGGGTACTGCTGTTGAAGGGGTTGCTGGTATTTACTGCAACAGGCCCTGATCCCCTTGCTCCACTTCTTTTGTCCTCCTGCCGGTCAGCGTCTGGTGAAAACAAGCCCCGGTCAGTCACCCGTATTTTCACCCGGCCGCTCGCTTGCTTCGCCGTGACCCCACTTCCAGGAAGTGACGCCGGTATCAGCCAATTAGCCTCTGGCGACAGGACCCTTCCTTACAAAAGAGCACAGGCTGATTTTGTTGTTCCCGCCTGCTTTTCATTGTGCACAACAAGCAGAGCGCTATTTTAGGAAACCGAGGTTAAGAGAGGTCACGTGGCACCAGACAGAGATAGACGGGAGGGAAGTGTAGGTGCTGTGGTAGAGCGAGCAGAGGTGACAGAGACAGAGAGAAAGAAGCGCAGAATGAAATCATTATCATATGATTGAGGGACAGGGCACAGCTAAAAGTGGTTGCCTAGACCTGAGAAGCAGAATTATAGACAAATGGCTCAAACACACACAAAGCACTCATTCTACATGGGCAAACAGATGCACACACAGACACACTCACATTCGATGTCCATTTGTTAGCAATACACACAGCTGCACCCAAGTAGCAGTATGAATAATCTCTACACACAGGTAGAACATGCTTGCATGCACACAGTAATGCACGCACACACACACACACACACACACACACACACACACACACACACAGAGGTGAAGGCTAAATCCCAGGGGTGTGTGGGTGCGCCATGACAACTGGACCATTTAAACCAGCTGCTGAAATGTGATTTATTAAGATTATCAAATGTGGCTTAAGTGTGTCTACATAATTCTGATGAATTATTTTGTATGTGACAGTTTTAAGATTTGTATCATATCATATTTAGCAAAGCAAAGCATGTTTAGATCCAGTTTTTGCCTCTCTAGTGGTCACCGCTTCTGCATCGATGACCACATTTGTGTCACAGAAACAAGTTAGCCATTTAATCAAATTCAATCGTGGGGAAATGTGAGCTATTTATCAAAGCAATCGTTAAGTGCATAATCCTTACAGACTTTTTCATCCTTTCATGAGCAGCATCTCCATTCCTGGTAGGAATGTAAGCAGGTTCTTGCTACAACTAACTTTATATGGAAATATATATTGAAAATTTGAACAGCCTTTCAAATGTGGGCCAAAATGAATTATTCAGTGAATGATGAATCAATGAAATAATGATTTGTTTGAATTCACAATCTACAGTGAATGAGCACAAAAGGCCTTGCCTTGTAATTTAGTGGCGGACGTTCCTGTTTGACCTTTTGCTTGTCCGGTTGCCCTTCGCTAACACAAAATGGAGACAGCTAGCCTGCTGTGCTGGGCAGCTGATAATGACAACAACCCGTCTAAGAAGTAACATGTGGAGGCCTTTTAA